TCTATATTCCAAATAGGATTCGATATGTCGTTAGGCTCCCGCCAGAGTGCCGAAGTTATGCCAGCGCTACGCCAGCATTTCGATCGATACACGTGTATTTCGTTGGGTCGGGGCTAGCTCAGCAGGTAGATGTCCCCAACGAAATACACGTGTATCGATCGAAATGCTGGCGTAGCGCTGGCATAACTTTGGCACTCTGGCGAGAGCCTTAGATAGAGCAAACCTAGCCCTACAAGCTCGTGCTCAAATACCTGCACCAGCTTCGACCCACGCGAAGTTTTAAGCCGAAAACTGAAAAAAAACCATGCGTCCGAAAACCTTAAGACCAATCGACAGAAGATTGTAACTTTGTTCGAAAAGCTCCTACAAAATTTCTTTCTTGCTCACGCGTAAACATTCCACGTAAGATATTTATCTACGCGGTTGCTGTATTTTTTTCTCAACTAGACGATGAGAAAACGAAGTTTTTCATGTTTTTGCCAAATTAGTGCTGAGATGTTCTAGTATTAACAGTTGTATAGTACATGCCGTTAGCAATAAAACTTTACATTTTCAGCCTTCTAAAACTGCTAGTTCCGCGAGAAATGACGAATCTAACTCTCTTTATCCGAATTTTTCTTGCTTAGTTGCTAAAAATCCGATATTTCTCGTAAAACAGTGCTGTAGAAAGCTGAAAATTCACACTCACGCTTCTAAGGTCTTATAGAATACAACTGTCAGTGCTAGAACATCTCAGCATTGTTTTGGAAAAAACGTGAAACTTCGTTTTCTCAGTTTCTAGCTAAGAAAAAAATACAGCAACTGCGTAGAAAAATGTCTTATACGAAATGACAATGCATGAGCATGTTAGGAATTTTGAAGGGATTTTTTTGAAAGGGCTTCTAATTTTTTCTTGGTTTTTTGGGGCGCTTGGATCTCTTTCGTTTTTGGTTTCAATCTTCGCTTAGATCAAAGCTGCTGCAAATCTTTAAACATTGTCTTGTAGAGCTAGGTTTGCTCTATCTAATGATATATCGAATTTACTTGTGATATAAGATTATTCCGGATTATTGCGGTCTGTACCTATTTTGGTGCAGGAATTATGCATCAACCTAATACTTTTGGTCCCACCTAATACTTTGAATCTGATTTTTGAAAATATTTCAATATGCACCAAGAGCCTGTAAATCACTTTGAAAATTTTGATGACCCATTATTCTCCCCCCCCCCCTTTGTTTTGGTATATTTCTACCCAATCACTTCTGCTTTGATTAGATCCAGTGCATATTTTTTACAAAGTAATAGTTTTAATTACTCGCGTTATAATTTTAATCAAAGCACATAAAGCAAAGAAGTTTGACATACCTGAACAATGGTGTTGAGCTTGAATGAAGTCCCTCCGTTGAGTCCTTTTCCAGCATTCCAGCGACTTGGTGATGGTTGTTCTCACACCTGCACCGATGCCTGCAAGAGTACTTAAAATATGGATATTTACGTTTACTTACACCAACATTGAAGGAAAAAAGAAAAAAGAGAAAGAAAAGAGAAGGAACAGAAGCGAAACAGCATGGAAGAAAAGAGTGCGCTATGCGCTGGTGATGTTGCGTTCGCTATTTCGCAATCGCGAATGCATGCGCTCTCAAAATCCTGCGAAAATGTTGGCAGGCCAAAGTGCTGTGGAAACCTTACAGCCTCACTGCACTTTCGCAGCGGTTTATGGAAAGTACTGCGGAAGTTCCGGTTTACAACCCCTGTGACGTCAATTTCCTGCGGAAACCTCGCATTTTGGAGCGTGCACTTTCTCAATGGTTAAGAAAGTGCTGCGGAAAAGCTGCAAGTTCTGCTTGTCCTGCGGAAGTTCCGGTGAATGTCTGAGTAGGCGTAAACTCAACGATAGAGCAAACTCATTATTGCATTATGCTTATAATTTTTATGCGATTCACAAGGACCATAACGACAGGTCATGTTTATGCTATATATTTGCAAGTGCAGAACTTCTCTAAAATCATATCTCGATAAGCATTTTTCAAGTCCTCAGCAAACAGTACATGTGAGTTCGAAGAAATTTTTTTCTGAGCTATAGAATCAACCACATTAGAGCAAAGGTAAAACTCTCACATTTGTTTTGCTGTCTTGCATGAAAGAGTAGACGAGAAGAGATTGATTTCATTTAATATAGGCAGTTATGAAAAATGGTTTTTCTACAAAATCAGAAACTCAAAAAGTCTACAAATAATGGTTAAAATTTTGTAACAACCCAATAGCAGTCAGTAACATTTAATACTCTCGCTCAACCGAGTTTGAGTGACAGGTGCACAACTGAATATGGAAAACGTATCACTCTTTAACTGCATCCAAGATTAGCGTTTCATAGCTGTTCAGGAAGCATGTTTTTCAGTGAGCAAAATCACTGTTTCCAACTTTCTCGCAAAAAGAGACGCAAAGGATGCCAAGCAAAAACAATCTCGATATCGAACACCTCCACAATAGTGTGAACTTCTGATTACGTTAACTTATCTCTAGGAAATCTATAAGCATTAGGCAGAAAACCGGAAAACTCTATATTTGGGATTTTGAAGCATACTCAAAAAATGTTGAAAAAACTGACAATTTTAAATTTTTATTTTTTTTCCTTTCCACATATTTTTTTCTCCAAACCCTCGACTTATTGTACTACTGGCTTGCGGCTACAAGACAGTCCACTTGTTATTTATATTGACAAATTTTGAAGGAAGTTATGAATGGTCAAAGATGTTTTGGTAAAAACGTTTTTAGTCTTTTAGTCCGTGTCTTTCTTCCCGTTTACGACGTGGGTATAAGTAAGTGTGCGCTGTACAGTCTGCTCCAAGTGGGATCAGGCCGAACCGTCGGCGTGAATTTGCGCGCTCGCAGCTCTAGCGGTCTGCGCTGCATAGGCGCGCTGTCGGAGAGAGCAAAAGGATCGAAGAGAGAGCAGAGGAGCAAACCGTGGGCGTGACCGCGAAACCATAACGACGCCTACTCCCGCCATGTCAATTTTGGCTTGTTTAGGATTGGGGCAAACTGTATTGCGAAAGGTTTGCTGCTTCTGATGGTTTTTACCGCATTCAGAAATGTGGATTTTTCAGAAAGTTAAAGCATGTTAAAATGAGAATTTGCAAGACGGCTATTATTTTTGCATCAGTCTAATAACTTAGCTCGACCCTTTGGCAAGGCAAGTATATAATCTGAATCATCTTCAAACGCTGATTCCAAATATGCTATTTCTAGTTGCCGAGCACCATTCCGAAGCTGGTGGACTTTTTTCCTGCGCGAAATTGGCATACTCATCGACTCACTGGTATCACGGTATCATTACCTAAGTGCTAAAAAACTTGCTTTAAGCTTCTTCACGCTTCAGAATGGTGCGCGGCGGCTAGGAATAGCTTATTTGGAATCAGCGTTCAAAGCTAATTTAGGACATATATGTCCTTGCCAAAAGGCCGAGCTAAGTTAGGTAGCTATCCTTATAAGGTGAGAATGCAAAAGATACAGCAATGGCCGGTGTTTTATTACTCCGTGTATGAACTAACTGATTATGTGCGATCAGATTAACTGCAAGCCTGCTCAGCAGACAAAAAAGACTGGATTCTAAGGTATTGCTGTCTTTGCTAGAAAAAATTGGCTGCTGTCTTGCCTAAAATTCTTATCAATGCGATAGTGTACATCTAAACAGAGGATGCTTCTTTTTGTGAAACGCGTAGTGTTCCTATTTTTCTTGCGGACTTTGGCGGATGCTTCGAATATTCTAGTATGGAATCCTACACTCTCTCACAGCCACACAAGTTTCTTGGGCAACATAGCTGATGTACTGACAGCTGCTGGTCACAATGTGGTACGCTTTCCATTATTAAAGGCTCTTATTATTCGTAAGTGTCGAATATTGTTGTGCCGAACAGGTTGTTAGGTGGTCCCTTTATTGTTAGTACTCTTCGGCCATACCTTTGAACCATTTCAGGCCTCTGATGAAGACGAAAGCGTCGAAACGTAAGGCCGAAGAGTACTAACAATAAAAGGACCACCTAACAACCTGTTCGGCACAACAATATTCGACACTTACGAACATGCCCAGGTTTGATGACTACGGAACATGGAAATTATTGCTCTTATTATTTTCGTGCAATATTTGATGAAGCAAATGGCTTGAAGGCAACATTCAGGTAAAACTAGGTATCTTGAATCTTGACGTATACGAATGGTGATAAGGAGGTATTTTCCAAGTCAAAAACTCGTATGGCCTATTTCTTGCTGGAAAATTCATCGCTAAACACCAACACCAACACATCGCCCACATTGAACTTTAAAGCTCCACTCCGGAGGGATACGGTACTGGGCATAGCTTGGAGTCAAAAATTGCTTAATCACAAATAACACTATAAGCTAATTTTTGGGCAATGTATCAAAAGCAGCGTCCCGGCAAAATGACGGGTGCCGCGATTTTACAGTCGCAATGGTAGACCCTCTAGTCAATCAATGAAGTCTGGAGCAAAAAAAAGGAAAGCCCAAAATGCGCTCCGGAATTCTTCCGGACTCCGCCCAATCCACGTAATTTGGAGAGAGCGCAGACATGGAGAGCTTCGAAAAAAGCTCATTTTTGCCATTTTCAAGCGCTGAAAAGCTCAAATATGGCTTGAGCACGGGAGAAGGCTCCGAAAATCTGACAAACCCGTGAGCGAGATTTTGCCGTGATGCTGCCTTAACGAAGGTTCTTGAAGCAGTATCCGTCAAGGTCTAGAAACCCAAACTTGCCTGAACATTGCCTTCGTTTAGAGCGTGCACTTCACTTATTCGTTAGAATAGATCTACGCTGCAGACCATCTTTTCACCGGTACTGGATCCTAATACAAGACCTTTTGGAAACCATTTGCCTACAAGAATGATTAGTTTTGCTCCGTCGAAAACCTCTGATGACTTCATAAATCGGTAAGAATACCACTCTTTTTCAAAAGGGCGCAATTCAGCCTGGCATAACTTGACAATTACGAAGATTCAAATCCACTTCAATGTGGGAAGTACCAGAATGTACCGATGTCTGCGTTAGTTGGAGTGATTTGGACCTGATGGCTCAGAAAAGCTTAGATTACTGCAAAGGTATCGTCGAGTCATTCGTAACTTAATATGTGAGCCTGCACACAAAGCGTACGGACGGCACCTTTAGTATTAACTTCTCGATCAAATCTTTTCTAGCGTAACTAAGTGTTAAAGTGTGTACTGCTGACTAATTATTCTCCTTTCAAACCAAAAGGGGCAAAGAAAAAGGCGAAGTCGCTGAAATGCGCAGGTTCCAATCTTCTAAGTTCGTCAAATAGCGCGTATGGTGTGTAATACGCATATCAAGTTACAAATAACTCGAGCATAACTGCTACAGAAAAATGATAGCGAACTTTCAATTTATAGAAATTCTGGAAGATTTCGAATTGTTGAACTCTTTGAAAGAATCGAAGTTTGAGCTCGCTTACACAGAAACTTTGGACCTATGCGCTCCATGCATTATTGAGGTTGTTGATCTCTTGGATGTTTATTGCGGCTGTGAACTAAACCTGCTTTCTTGCAATTTCAGAATCTCGATATAAAGAATGTAGTTATACTATCCGCCACGGTCGCTATGCCCCGATTCTATAAGGTGGCTGGATTACGTCAACTTCCCAGTTTTGTACCAGGTTAAGACCTAACAGAAAAATCAGAAACTACCTAAGTTCCATTTGTTAGATTCTACGATGTATTCCTGAATATATCTCAACTGCAGTAAGGAAAAAAATCATCTCAGTGATATTTTCAGGCCCAATAACCCCATATGCGGATGAGATGACTTTCACAGAGAGATTAAGAAACTTCGTATTTAACATACAATTTGACTACTACACGATGAAGTGGGACCACAGATTCAGTCAACTGTTCAGCAAAAAATATCCTGGATTTCCCGCACCGCATGAGATCTATATGGTAACTAATTTGGTCTAGAAAAAATGACGCAAAGCAACCCTTCTTTGTAGGAGAAAACAGCACTGATGATGATCAATGTGCATGAATTCTTCGAAACACCTCGTCCTACAACTAATATGATAAAGTACATTGGAGGATTTGCGCTAACTCAGACGAAACTACTGACGAAGGTAAGCTTATGTAGAAGAATAATTTGAAGCAGAGAGTAGACGCTATTGCTGCTTTTCTAATATCCCTTCATTCATGCGCATATTTATGACGTTTGTTGTCTATCGTCTCTTGTGATCGTGAACCTCCTAGAAAAATATAGTGATTGTATTCTTTGCGCCCTACGTCGTACAAATAAACATGACAAAATTTATCATAATAACTCAGGAACTAGATGACTTGTTGAATATAAGGAACATGACGGTGCTATTTTCGATGGGATCTGTGGCTCGATCTGTGGACATGCCAGAATGGCTTAAGAAAGGTTTATATCCTGTTTTTTCACTCCTTCATCTGTTCCAGGCCAATCGAGCTTGAAGGTAGTACTCGTGATGGGTTACCTGGGTTTCATCTGAACACAGTTTGCTATTTCAAGCGAACCATCTGTGCATCTGCTCGTATGATTCACAAGTAGCTAAGACTTTTTTATTTTTCGTACAAACCTACTCCTTTCGAGCTGACCAATCAGCATCCTCGAATTCGGTGGAAATATCTTTCGGGTCGGAGTTTGAAGTAGAGTTTCTCGACCATAAATGCTTCACGAGCCACCGTTGAGCAGCTGTAGGCTACTGTAGGTTACTGTAGGCTTCCCAATAAGATCCTAGAACAGACTCATACCCTCAGGCGGGCTTGGTGGAACCCTTGGCGGCCTGCCTCCAATCATTAGCTTGGTTATATTCTTTAACCCATGTTTCTAGAATTCTATCTATTCCGGCATGACGGAACTTGAAATCACCAAAGTTAGTTGGTCACCATTTTTCTTCACCCTGAAACTCACCTCAAATAGGTCCGATGAGGTGAACGCTCAAGCATCTGGAAACGAGGAATAATAAGGGAGGGAGGGGAGGGAGAGGAATTGAAACGCAACTTTGATATATTACGTGCTTTCACCATCCACTCTACCTCTCAAACTTCTGTTTTAGCCGTATTGGAGACTTTTGATTCATTCCCTGATGTAACATTTATTTGGAAATACGAAGGTGGAGACATCGCTTTTGAATCTCATCCAAATATATTTCCCATGAAATGGATACCGCAAATTGACTTGTTAGGTGAGCTTCTTATCTCAATCTTGGATTCCTACGTAATTATGAAATTTTAGCGGATAAGCGTCTTTCGCTTTTCGTAACACATGGAGGTATGAACTCATTGTTAGAAGCGGTGAGGCAAACGAAAAAGATTTCACAATGCTTATTAAACTTGTCTAAGACTTACCATGGAAAGCCGCTGATCGTTGTTCCATTGTTTGGTGATCAGTATTACAATGCGAAACTCGTACAGAAAAGTGGTATTGCTACAGTTATTGAGAAGAATCAACTTAACAGGCATACGTTGACGGAGGCAATACGAGAAATGCTTAGCACTAGGTTGCCTTTTTTCCATGAAGCTGAAAAAAATTTGGGAGTTTTTAGGAAATTTGCCAAGGAATCAGCCTTTATCGCATCAATGCTTGAGGGCCGATCTGAACAATATCGCAAAGACATTGCTAAGTCGGCCAAGATCATTATTGAGCACGGCAGATTGGACCACTTGATATTACATGCGAGAAACTTGAATTTCCTGCAGTATTATTGCTTGGATGTCATAGGATTCATAGCAACTGTATTGGTAGCTATAATCTATTTGATATTTTTGCTTGTTAGGATGATATATAAGTTGATTATCCCCAAATTGAAGAGAGATTAGGTTTGATGTCAGTAGCAAGAGTGATAGTTTTGATAGTGCATTTCTGTTGATACCAGAGATAAACTTGATAGCCTCTGCTGATTAGAGAAAATATAATTTGCTGCAGAAATTACGAAGGCTCATGAATGGTTTCCTCGTAAATTTTGTGGCACACTAAAATTTTTTTCTATTTTCTTGATTCCTGTGCAACTCTTCAGACTACAAAATCAATTTTTTGAGAGAAACATGCATGAAATGAGACTTCGCATTCGATTAATCAGGTATCTCTATTCAGCCACTGGATGGCTTCTTGCACGGGCAGTGGATTCAGATAGGTTGGAGGTATCACCAAATTGGTCTGAAACGTGTAAGGTTTACTGTTCCGGCTTCATATCTGCGCCGAAACGTCCATATGGTAGATTTCCTCTTGCTGACTTCTGGAATGGATCCTCCTTGTCGCGAGATATGAGCCTTACCCTCCGCTCACATGGTTATGGGAAATGATCCGATAATGGTTAATAAGCTATTAATCATCCCCCTAGATGTAAGTCAACAAATCAGTAAATCGACATAAGGACCAAACGGTTTGCAAAAAAGCCATGTTTTTACGCTGTTAATTTTAAGGGGATGATTTAGCCCGATCTGCTCACTCAGAAGGATTTATATTTAGAACATACTAAACCATGAGCGTTACTCAAACTTCGAGTTTTATATTAGGTTGTCCCATAAGTCTTTTCATTTTTGAATTTTCGCTGTAATAAGTCACACACTTCTTACTCTTAATAGACATCAGGATACCATTCGATAGAGCAAAGCAAGCTCTATAAGATGGCGCTTACGCTTTCGCACAAGCTTTGGTCTATCTCGAGTTTCAAACCAAAATCTAAAAAGTTTCGGATGGCCAAAAAACCGAAATTTTTTTATATCTTCGTTCAAAAAAATCCTACAAACCTCAAACTCGCTCACGTATAAACATTTCACACCAGACATTCATATGTGCTGTTACTGCATTTTTTTATCAGCTAGAAATAAAGAAACCGAAAATTTTCCTGTTTTTACCAAAGTGATGCTGTACTGTTCTTACACTGACAGTTGTATACTACTAGCCCTTAGAAGTATAACTGTAATTTTTAAGCTTTATATAAGCTCTGGTTCCCGAGAAATGTTGATTTAAGCGTGAAAAACCCAAGTGAAGAAAGCTAAATTTGATTTTCTCGTGAACTAGAGCATATAGAGAGCCAAAAATCTACTGCAGTACTTCTGAGGGCTTCTACTATGCAACTGCTTGTGTAAGAACAGCACAGCATCACTTTGGTAAAAACATGAAAATTTTCGGTTTCTTGATTTCTAGCTGATAAAAAAATGCAGCAACAGTACATATGAATGTCTGATGTGAAATATTTATACGTGAGCAAGTTTGAGGTTTGTAGGATTTTTTTGAACGACGATATAAAAAAATTTCGGTTTTTTGGCCATCCGAAACTTTTTAGATTTTGGTTTAGAACTCGAGATAGGCCAAAGCTTGTGCGAAAGCGTAAGCGCCATCTTATAGAGCTTGCTTTGCTCTATCGAATGGTATCCTGATGTCTATTTAGAGTAAGAAGTGTGTGACTTCTTATAGCGAAAATATAAAAATGAAAAGACTTATGGGACAACCTAATACAGGGTGTCCCAAAAGTATGTATCGAACGTTTGATCGTTAATATCTCTCTTCCCAAGAAGTCTTTTGCCTTGCTTCAAGTACCATTTTGTAGAGCTGGCTTCAACTTAGATTTGCATTAAAGAACGAATCACCCATCTCTCTTCATTACTGTAGGATTACGGTAGAAACTTGAAACATATGGTGTCAATGTGGAAAAAGCTGCAGTTCCAAAATTCTTCAAAAAATTGTGAAAACTTGTGTAATAGGGTTTTTATGGATGCTGAGTTCAATACTCAACTATTCACAAGATTACAAAGCTTTCTAAACGGTGTAATCGCACTTCTTAGGAACATTGAAAAAATGGCCGCTACCTCTTACCTGGCATAACTCCTCAATGAAGCATCATAATAAGTTGGGAACTTTACAGTTATAATCAGCAACTCTAATTAGCCTAGTGTGAAAACTTTCAGGCTGTTTTATTTCCTTTCTAAGGCAAAATATGGCCTTTCATTGCTTAAAACCCTCTTTGAAGTTTCTACCGTAATCCTACAGTAATGAAGAGGAATGAGTGATTTGTTCTATAATGCAAATCTAAGTTGAAGCTAGCTCTACAAAATGGTACTTGAAGCAAGGCAAAAGACTTCTTGGGAAGAGAGATATTAACGATCAAACGTTCGATACATACTTTTGGGACACCCTGTATAAAGTCTACTGCATGACGAAGGCGCAGAAGCGGTATTAGTTGAGCAGGCGCGAATGTCGGGCGCGTATCCTCACCGCTGTAAATCCTGCTCCTCATGCACTCTACGGCTAAAAAGCCGCGTTCACGCGCAAAGATAGCGCCTTCGTCATGCAGCAGCTATATTTATAGATCTCATTCTCAACTGATCTTGTTCCTACAATGTTTCACTTCTTCTTGGAATATTATGAGCATCCCAATACCTCACTCAAAACTCTGCACAAATCTCTGCCTTTTTTATATCTTACAGTAGTCATATTGCAAGCCAACATCGTTTTAAATATCACCAGCAACACCAAGCTCCATTAGGCAACTTCTAGATGCTCTTTTCCTGTGCATTTTTGCTTAACCTCACAAGCAGCTTTGCGAGAAGCGTTTTAGGCATTAATAAGTGGCAAGTTTTCAATATTGTTTGCCTGTGAATACCAGTGAATGGCCACCCAAGTCTCACTGCAAGAAAACCTTCAAAAGACAAATCGCATTAAAATCATTCCAGTAAAGTCTATTGCACTCTCTTACCGTCCCACCCATTGCGATTCATGCTTCTCCTTCTTCCCCCTTGATAATGGTTGCAAGCGGCTGACGTCCCAGCGAATTTTAGCACTCCGTTTGATATTCAACACCTCTTGACGTTTTACAGATGAGAGAAAATTCACATGGACGATATCGAGCCTTCGAATAGTCTTGGTCTGGTCAACAAAATCCTAGAAATCGCACTCTCATGACTATTTATGCTTAGTTCCATGCTAGATCTACTTCTATGAAATGCCCTTTGTACTATATTTGTGATAATGTGGGACGTGCGGACTTATCGAAATGTACCTGGGGAAAAGAAATGTGCTTGGTTACTCTGACTACAAATAAGTGCAAGATACTGATAAGAAAAATATTCTGAGAATTCTGATCAGTTCGAAAAGACTAATTAAACAAGGAACTTTTTGAGAATTGTTCTTTGATGTAAATTCTATGCAAAGTTTATAATAATCTTTTGAGGCCTTTTTTTCTAGAAATTTCAAATTGAAGAGCGCATGTAGTCATAGGGATTCGAACAGTTTATGAACGAGAGCAAAATATGTATGTACTATATATCTGTGATGAAGTATTCCATTTTGAATTGGATCGGACCGTTGCTTGACAGTATCGAGCAATTGAGTAAATTAAACTGGCACGCGGGTCTTGGGCGGTCGGACACGAGCACACCTCAAACTTGGGTAATTAAACTTTACAGAGAGACAAATAACAACACATATAGAATAAATAACAAAATGATGTTACTAAATCATAAACTACAAATAGGAATGATGTAATGGGAGAAGGCACAAATAAGCAACTGAGATAACGTTGAAGCAAATGGGCAAAATCGTACATATGAAAAACTCGGACTGTGCACTGTCGGCTACTTACATTGAGACCCATCATCAAGCCACAGCTGCGCGCTACATCTTACTGATAGTTGAAAAAGTGGGGAATTCACATCTGCTACAGTGCTGGCCAAAACTATAGATCCAATCGAAATTTTGTAGTATTAAAGAAGTGCAGCATCAAATGAAGCTCAGATTTTACATGATGATTACATTTACCCTTAATAACCTTCTGACACAACAGGTTTATTCACATTCATCTTCATTACAAAAAAAATGAGAAAATTTAGGAAAAGCTACAAATGAAAGTTGGCCAAAACTATAGATCCACTGAAAAACCGAACAGCAAAAAATTCGACAGCAGCTTGCTAGTAGTCGATAGCGTTATTTTGGTGCTTGACAACTTCAATGAGTCGCTTTGGAACACTGTTCGCTAACGTAGTAAGGGCCTGGGTGGGAATTTTTGACCAAGCAGACGAAATTGCTATTTTAAGCTCCCGTGAGTTGTTATAATGCTTACAGTCATGATATACATCACGCACAATGATGCCCCAGAGATTTTCAATAGGGTTGAGATCAGGTGAGCATGCTGGCCATTCTAAAACTTGGATATTGTGGCTCCTTAAGTACTGTAATGTATCCCTACTTCTGTGCACTGAAGCATTATCCTGCATAAATATGGAATTTTCATGCCAAAATGGTATAAGATGAGATTCTAACACCTCCTGATAATTCTGGCTTGTCATTTTATTAGAAATGAAAGCAAGTGGAAGTGTGCCTGTAGCATAAAAGGCGCCCCAAACCATGACATTGCCCCCGCCGAAGTTCCGTCTGGAGAAATACCGAGGTTCTTTACGGAGATCGTGCCAGTAGTAAGCGAATCCGTCGGTCCGTCGAGGTTAAACTTTTTTTCATCAGACCAAATAATCTAAACAAAATTTTGAGGAATATGTGGATGTTGCAGTTTTTTACCTCCATACCCTACTCCAGTTAACTTGTTGCGCGAGTTTTTCTTCAACAAAATCACGACGATGTTCTTTGTGAAGCTTTGTCAACCTTGGCTGCAAGCTCATCTTCATTCGAACAATGCTTTCGCTCTGTTCTAAGACTCTGCGCACTGTTCTAGTGGAATAATTCAACTGTAAGGTGCTTTTGATCTGCTTTGAGGTGATAGTAGAATTGGATGCAGCGCGCAGAGTACGTCTCCGATCGCGGGCGGTGACCACCGATGGACGTACAGATGGAAAAGGTTGCCCATACGATTGCGGATCAGCCAAATAGCTATTGACAACCTTGTGGCTTCGTCCAGCTTCGGCAATACGTCTATTGGACCATTGTTCTTCGTGGTAAGCCGTAATCAGTCCCTTTTCAAAATCCGTTAGACGTTGACCACGCGGCATGTTCCACAGTTCAACGATGTGCTGTACGACAAAACTGGGGGCCGAAAAAGCTGTAAAGACGCTAAGTACCAAGTGGATCTATAGTTTTGGCCAGCTTTCATTAGTAGCCTTTCCTAAATTCTCTCATTTTATTTGTAATGAAGATGGATGTGAACAAACCTGTTGTCTCAGAAGGGTTCTAAGGGTAAATCTAATCATCATGTAAAATTTGAGCTTTATTTGATGCTGCACTTCTTTGATACTACAAAATTTCGAGTGGAACTATAGTTTTGGCCAGCACTGTAGCATCTGCAAATTTGTCCAGTTGCAACATTGCAAGCTACTGAATTCATCGATGGTGTGCAATTGGCAAAATATTACTAAATTAAATGATTGCGAAGAGTTTGCACATAGTGAGGGGGAAAAGGACAATAGGAACCACGAATTTCGGACACCATCGCAACAGCAAGATTTCCAAGGAAGCACCTGTCTTTGTGCTTAGTTCAAAAACGCTTCTCCTCATATAAACTTAGCCTTATCTTTAGAACAAATATCACATGCTCAAAATTTACCGTTTCATGCGCAATCATATTGTTGGGTGGCTCCGAACAGCAGGTACAATGTTCTACTCTTTTTCGGGCTTACGAGGACATCACAGAAAGAGTTTCAGGTCTGAAATTTGAGCCCATACAAGCAATATGCTAGATGCCGAGTCTGACTAGGCACTAAAAAACAAATCATTCTCTACGTGCTTATGATTGCGACCAGTAGCGAAAGTAGTCCTCGCTTTCGTATCAGCTAAAATGTTGCAACAATATCTAACAAAATGCAGATTAAAAGCAAAATTACAAGCTAGAAAAGCGAGCAAACTTCTTATAAACCCGTTATACGCCCCGATCAAAGTCACACCTCATGAAGGTATCTATTCACGAATGTTGGATTCAAAAAAATGGGTGCAAATCTAAGTCCAATGTGGATCTATAGCCTTGTCCAATCTTTTTGTGAAAAATACAAAAACCAAAAATTTTAGAGAATTGTTGCGAATAGAAGTTGTGCTTTGATCGAGTGTGTGTTCATCAGCACAGTGTTAATAACGAAAGGGGCCCCACCCTTTCTGGTTATTGACACTGGGCTGGTAAGCACACATCGTTGCAAAGTCCCAATCTCAATGACATGTAAATGAATGTCAGCATTTCTCAGAGCGGACCTATGTTTTCGTCAGCATTGTATTAGGTTGTCAAGAAAATAATGTCGGTTTTTATTTGCTTGCTTTAACAAAGCAACCAGACTCAACCCAACAAAGAATAAGGGGTACTGTTCGATAGAGCAAAGCAAGCTCTACAAGATGGCACTCATGCCTTTGCGCCGTGCTCGATCCACGGAGAGTTCGAACTCAAAATTTAAAGATTTTCAAACGCCCAAAAAATCGAAAAAAATCAGATCTTCGTCCAAATAATTTCTACGGACCTCCCACTCGCTCACATCAATACTATCGATAACTGATATCCATATGTGCAGTTGTCGTATTTTTTCCTTGATTAGAAACTGAGAAAACGAAAAATTCCCTGATTTCTTCAAAGCACTGCTGAGCCGTTTTTGCATAGGTAGTTCTATACTAAAAGCCTAGGTAAGTATAATTGTAGATTTTCAGCCCATTCCAAGCGGTAGTTTTCGAAAAATAACGAATTGGGATTTTTTCGTTTCAGTTTCAGTGCTAAAATCGACATTTCTCGAAAAGTACCGCTCGAAATAGGCTGAAAATTTACAGTTATGCTTATCTAGGCTTGTAGTATAGAACTACATATGCAAAAAAGGCTCAGCATTGCTTTGAGAAAATCAAGGAAATTTTCGTTTTCTCAGTTTCTAGTCAAGGAAAAAATACGGCAATCGCACATATGAATAACAGATATCGGTAGTATTGATGTGAGCGAGTGGGAGGTCCGTAGAAATTATTTGGACGAAGATCTGATTTTTTTTCGATTTTTTGGGCATTTGGAAATCTTTAAATTTTGAGTTCGAACTCTCCGTGGATCGAGCATAGCGCAAAGACATGAGTGCCATCTTGTAGAGCTTGCTTTACTCTATCGAACAATACCCCTTACCCTTTATTGGGTTGAGTCTGGTTGCTTTGTTAAAGCAAGCAGATAAAAACCGACATTATTTTCTTGACAACCTAATAGATGGGCAGGTTTCGGCAGTTTTATGGAAGAGACGAGAGAGTATCGGTCGGGTGTTGGATGAAGAATGAATAATACACTCGCAAAACCAGTACTTTTCAATCTTAGCACTACGATTTGGTGGAATCTCGTTCAACCCTTGGCTACCAGTACTCTAGATTTTGGCGTAAAGGTTGAGTTTTCCTCTATAGCACATTCTCTTCATTTCTCAAGGAAGCGTAAGAATCGTTGATTTCCTCTAAAAAGTTGATATAAATGTTTAAAAACATCTTTCTGCAGCCGTTCACTTTACTAAATCCTTTATGGAACAACAAACCTAAAGACAACAGCAACGTATTAATAATGTTTTAGCGGTAATAAACGTAGGAAATCCCATGGTCAGTAAACAGAGAAAGCAAGTGCACGGAGGCTAAGAGGGATGAGCGCGCAATGTTCACTGCAAGTCCATGGAGTGCTTTGCATCAAGGTAATTTCGGTTCTTTTGCTCCATCATTTGCTCCATCCTAAATTATCAGGTTCTAGATAATCACACTGTGCATTTAAAGTTTTGATCGCGCCTAATTTCACTGCTGGAAAACTTTCGGTATGGCGCAAGTTCCGATGAATGTTATGATCGTTGAAAGGAAGAAAATCCAGTTTGTGGCTTCATTAAGTGAATGACTTGGGTCCTTGCAAATACTTGAGGGAACATGACTTCTATACGTCATTCGGGTTCTCTTTACTTATTATTAGAAGTATAAAATTGGATTTATTTTTCAGTTTACGTGCAAGCTCCAACACACGTTTTTCATTCATTCCCTTTTTGTGCCATCCACGATATTGGTTGCCTCTCCCGTTTCTAAAGAAGTCTGAGCCAATCGCTTTCTGCGAAAGTTTGACCATATCCTGCTGGTAGGAACTTTGTTGCTGAGAGAGTGAAAAGCCAACAGCAGTACCTTGCCAACGAAATTGACGCTATGCACTCCAGAACAGCGCACGGTCGCAGCAGGACTTCAAAGCCTTCAATTGTATGAGGTCACGCATGAGTTGAATTTGAGGTTCTGATCAAATTAGGTTCTTTTTCAGCGAACACCAAGATGGTATGCTTTATGGTGTGCAGATTTTTGTGGATTTGCCTGATTTTTGCGGGGACTCATTGTCATTGGAATCTACGTCTTATATTGTATTACCGGATTGTATTAGTAAGGGCATCTGAGCAGCATTCTGCGTAAACTTTGATTTGTTCAATAGTGGAAGGGAATTCGAGACCACATCGCACAGACTGAATCAAATTGTTGTGGGAGCAGATATTGAGCAAAGTCAGAAAGATACGGTAGTCAGAATCATCAATGAGTACAGTATATGACAATAGCAGTCTCTCTTACAGGCGGAGTAAGATAGAAAGGGGATGAGTATCGTGGCGATGGTCGTAGTGGCAAAGATCTGCGCGTTCCATTACTGCCCATATTCGCCGTGTACGCTTTGATGCAGTGATAGATAAGACATTTTTGCAAAATTCCGCTAACAAGAAAAATGACAGAAGTAAGAGTAAGATTCAAGTAGATAGTAAGTAAACTTATCAAAAGTAGCTCAAACGCTGACCCCAAAATACCTTTCTTTAGCTCTAAAACGAACCTGGAACGGGACTTCTGAATTCAATTTGCGGGAAAATTGCAACGCTGAGAGTAGCGAGTACCACAAAGCCCAGGTACTTCGGACTTAACATCGATAAAACATTCTATCAATGCTTAATGTAATTCTACTCCTCCAATCTTATGCTGTGGAGCTCAACAAGCATTCGAAGGATCCGTAATAATAGAGAGCTCTAAATAATGTAAAATTTGGAGATTGAAATGGTGATCATGACTTCTGGTCCTTTGATTTGCAGCTACGAAAAGCTGTTTTTGATACATATTTCATGCCAAAACGCCACCGCGAATTCCTGACACTTTCCTTGCAGAACATTTTTTTGCCTTTTCTTTCATACGTCGAGAAGTTGTTTGATTGATCTGTCAATGGCTATAAGAAGTCACTGAGTAAATTGTCTAGAATCACAGCCGCTGAAAGGTGTTTTTCTGTTTAGTTGCGTAAATGAATTTTACTGTTTGATGCCTGTCAGTGTTATAGGAACATGGTTAAAAATAATTTGAGAGGCTAGATTTCGATCTGATTTTCATAAACGAGGGTATTAGAGTAGAGCGAAAATCGGGGCGCTTGAGCTTGTTGGTTCTGAGCATTGTACTGTCTTTCAACCGTTTTGTGCAATATCTCGAGTTAGTGCTAGATACTCCATTGATTGCGAGTTCGCATTGTTTGCTGGGAGTAAGCCCATTTGCGGATTAATTCGTGACCTAACTTTTATCATGCATGAATGTTCCTTTTGATAATTCAATATGAGTGCTATTTGGGCCACATGCAAATTCGCATGAGAAGTTTGTTTCCGTGATTGCAATAAATGAGTCAATCGTATTATGGCAAATTGGTAATGAGGATGCATGCTTTAATGACTTAGATACTTTACTTTAAATGATAAGTTTAACACATTATTATGTCTCAAATTTCATGTTTTCGACTAGAGTACGAAACTTATCTATTTCGCCGTCAATTTCTTACACAAATGTCGTTCCATCAGACGATAATATCTACGGAAAACTGTGAATTTACACTTCAATAAAGATTGCAAAGTTTAGTTTGCTAGTGACAAAACTCGTTTAATGTGTTAAGTGAGAAAGTGGTTTTCCATAAGAACTGTTATTTGTGTTTGAGAAGAATGACCAGAATTTGATGCCTATGAGCCGTATTCTGCAGGAAGTGATAGGCCACGATGGAGTGAATTGCAAACCTGAGGAAAAAACAGCTTCCGTC